TGTGTCTGTGGCCACGCCTCCCCCGCCACACCGCACTACACCGCCCACCAGCGAGACAGTGGAGCTCGTCGAACGTTTTGTGCTTTTAACTGTCATTTTCATAATTTCTACATTTTTGAGCCCAGTTTGTCGGCACACACACAAACACACACACACGCACACACACATACATAGCTACGATTATACAGCCCACGCGTCAGCCTCTAGTGACGCGGGCCCAGGCAGTGATTGGCGGTGGACAGAGGGGGTCTAGAAGGGGAGACGGCAGGTGTTGGCCAAGTACACACAATTGTACTTGGGGCTCTCTGTGAGAGTCGTTTATTTTGTCGGTGTGAATCGAATAATTTGAATAAATATTTTGTCCATTGCCTTTTGCGGTATTCTCTTTTTTTTTTTTTTTTTTTACTTTTCTTATTATTATTATTATTTTGATTGTTTTTTGGGAAATATGTTAGCTGGCGACGCGATTGAGGACTGAGCGCTACTAGAGACCTACATTTGAGGGCTTCTTGGATAGGGCTAAGAGGAAGAGCTATAAGTGGAACTTGAAATTTAACAAGAATACGGTTACTGATATTTCGGAATTTATAATATAAGTATGTATATAGTTATAAAAGATTTGAATTTGAGAATGGCCTTTGTGGAATCTTCAGATAATTGTATATGAAGGCATCAATAGGAAAAACTATTTAACTAATTAACGAAGCCGTACACATCATAATCTATATACCTTATTTTTGCTAAGTCTCTCTTATAGTTAAAGGAAAATGAAGTTAAAATATGAGAAGCATCAAAGTGCGAAGTATATAGAATTAAGTACGAAAGAGATTAAGGGAGAAAACATTGATAGTGATTTAGAGAGAAATATAGAAAACTAATAGGAAATGGAGCTAGAGACGGATAATAAGAGAGACAGAGAGAGTGAGGTAGAGATAAATATCTATTTCAGATATAGAGATAGAGAGAGAGAGAGAGAAATAAAGATACAGAGAGAGAAAGATATATATATATATATATATATATATAGAGAGAGAGAGAGAGAGAAATGGAGATAAATTTGGAGAAAGAGAGTGTCATTTTAAAATATATATGGAGAGAGACAAAGAGAGATTGAGAGAGACAGAAATAGATATGTATATAGATCAACCGAAAATAGAAAGAGACAACGAGTGAGACAGAAATATAGGAGATTTATTACAAAAGAAAGAGTACACCGAAATAAGAACATTTGGGTATGAAATTAATAATGAAATTGTAGAGTCGAAAAGTAAAGCCTACAAATTCTTGGAAATAAATAAACCAAACTGTAATATAAATTTCTGATACTCTGCTCGCGCTTACACAGTAAAGGAGATCAATCATAATGGCATAATTGTCATTCAATGGATGGGCTGTTGCATTAGTTTCGTGGCGACCCTCTCTGACCGCCATCAGCCGCCCGTCGAATGCGACGATTAAAAGGAACGAAACAACTACAATAACTTCTATATATTGTATTTAATCATATAAGGTGTGTGTACTTATATGAATGGCTCTATATATGCGGGTGTGTATGCGTGTGCTCATACGCATGTCTCTCTGTGTATGTGTCTGTGTGTGTGTGTGAGTGCGACAACTGATCAGGTAAAGCCAAACACGTTTCATTGTCTTTTTTTTCAATCTTTTGAAGTAATTATTAATTATAGATGCCCTCGAGTCATAACTATTTTGATATGCTCTATAAAGGTTTAGTTGATTTTATGTGACATAATTTTTAAATATACATATATATTTTTTAATTATTTATATCGGAATTTATGAGATTCATTTCAAGTATTTTTAATAAATTGTAAAATATTTCGAAATTTTCTTCAAGACTTTCGTTTGACCATTTGTGGTAAGGGTATTCAAAAGTTGGATTTCCTTTTTGCTTCTTTATGGTTTCTCTTTTTGTATTTGGTTTTTATTTTGTTATGCGCTTATTTTTTTTTTTTTTATATATTTTTATTATTGATTTTGATGCGTGAACAAAATTTAAATAGTGACATTTTGGGCCAACAATAAACATTAACAGTAATTTCGGAAATAATAAACTGGTTGCGACTGTTTGTCATAAATCCGAAACTATGACAAAAGCAACAACTACAACAACAACAACTGCAACAACAACAGTGGCAACAATTATAACAACAACAAAGACAACCTCAAGTACAGCAATGCCAAAGAAATTCAATGAAACACCGCCCACAACTTTCGAGGGGGCTGCAAGAAGAGATTACCAATAATTTAGCAATAGTCGAGACTTACAATATAATCCCTATAAAAATAAATACCTCAAATGATCTCACTGAACTCGAAGTTTAACCAGATCTGAACTATTTCCGCTATACAAAAATATATTTATTATGTAACTACTTTAACATATAAGTAGTGATATTTGTCTATTATCTAACATTCATGTATTATCCTTTATATTTTCAGGCTCAGCAGTCACCTCAGGCCATCTTCACCAGTTTCAAATTGGAAAAAAATGATCCATCCTCTGGCTGCGGCCTGGCAAGTTCCTCAGATGCAGCCGAAGAGCGTCCCACTGCCTTGAGACTTGGCGCTGGCGCTGGGGAATCGACTGCAACAGATCTCACACCTAGTCGTAGCAGAAAGAGAGCCCGCATTTGGACTGTGGATCTACACAGAAGTCCCGCAAATGTACGCAGTGCCAGTCCTTCTACAGAAAGAACATCGACGAGGGAATTACCTGATAGGGATAGATCGCCAGTTCCGGTGAGTGAACCAGAATTTATTATTCTTTGAAATAGATTGATTTTATTTCAGTGTCTATTACTAACAAATATGAATAGCATATTATTTATATATATATATACATATATATATATATATAATATATATATATATATAAATATATATATATATATATATATATTTTTTTTTTAATTTTGCAAAAATATTGTTAAGATAATTCCTGTGGCAGTTCTATAGATTTTCAGATTTATTTATTTATTATTATTTTTTTCCGAAAGCTGGAAAGCAAGAAAGTGTACGTCTAAGATTCTGACTTCCTACCTAAATTTTTAGTTTCTTTTTTTTTTTTTTGCAGAAATCTTGTATTAAAAGTCTGTTTCGTTTATAGTTATAGTTTAAAGATTTGCTTATTGTTTTGTACAAGACAGATTGCAAATAAAAAGAAAAAAACAAAATAATTTAAAAAAAAGTATTATTCTATATTAAAATATATGATACATATGGACATGTAAGCATATTTATACATCTATAGAAACTTTACTTAATAGACTATGAAGATAGAATATGAAATTGTTGTTTTCTGAGTAATTATCTTAGGATTAGATTATTATAGATAAATACAAACCTGAAAAATATATTCTATATTAATAAAACATTATTCATCAACATCAATATATGTATAAAATCCTTATTAATGTCTTTTTCTTTAATTACAGCTGATGTTCACGCAGCCAGCTGCAGTCGGCAAGCCCGTGGAGCGAGTTTCTGGTAAGTAAACTCTATATACCATACATGATAAATGATTTTCTAGAAATATGCCTCCTTCTAGTGGTACGCGCAGCGGGCACTTTCTATCCAGAGAACGCCAGCTCGGCTCAAGCAGCGGAGTTGACGGACAACTCCGGCAGATACGGCTCGCTGCCCAGCGCAGATTGCAGTGCGGATCAGCCGGAGGATCTGAGCATGCGCACCGGCGCAGCGGTCGCAGCGAGTGGGCGTGGCGAGCCGGAGACGAAGCTGCTGCAGTTCAAGCAGCTGCTCGACCTGTACCAGCGGCAGGTGCTGCTGCCCAGTTTCCTGGCTGCGGCCAGCCAACCCGCTGCGCTGGACATGCGCCTGCTGCTGGAGAATGCGGCGCAGCAGAAGATGCTGCTGATCAATGCGGCGGCAGCGGGCGCCGTAGCAGCAGCAGCGGCCGCAGCAGCAGCCTCAGCCACAGCCCCAGCCCCAGCGGGCGCAGCGGCAGAGGAGACGATGCCAGCAGCTGCAGCTGCAGCGGCGCCAACCTCCGCTCGCGCTGCTGGCAAACGCGCCAGGGATCAGGACATACCCACGGGCTACCTCAAGTTCCGCTTCAACGAGGACTGCGGCTTCGAGCGCTGCGGCTACCGCAATCATCAGTCGCACTTCCACTGCAATCGGCGCGACTGCCACTACAGCTTCTGCGACAAGACGCGCTTCGTGCAGCACACGGCGCGGCACGAGCGGATGGACAGCCTCATGGGCGAGGACTTTCGCCAGTATCGCGCGAACATGCGGTGCGGCGTGCCAGACTGCTGCTATGCCACGCAGGCGACGGCAGCAGGTGCGGCAGGTAGGTGGGCAGGCGAATTCTCCGCGCACTCTCACTTCTCCTGCTAATGCGAGAACTTCTTCATTCACAGACGACAGCCTGGCCTTGGGCGCGCCCAAGAAGTCCTCGCACTTTCATTGCCGTAAGTGCGACTACGTCTGCACCGACTCCAACAAGGTGGTGGCCCATCGACGGCTGCACCTGCGACTGGAGTACGTGCGCTCGGCCGGCTTCCGAAAGATCGCCAGCAACGAGCCCTGCGACTCACCTGGCTGCACCTATGCGCTGCGGCACACGCACTACCACTGCACCACCTGCGATTGCAGCGTCCTCTCGCGCGCTCAGCTCGCCTCGCACCGCCACCGGACACTGGGCCAGGCCGCCAAGCAGTTGGCGGAAGGAGCAGCTGCCTCCAGCTCCGCACTGGACGTCGAGGCGTATCCCTAGGCCAGGGGCTCTGCAAAAGCTACAGAAGCCATACAAATCCAAATGCAAAATGTAAATTAGATCAAATTAAATGAAGCTAAGTGAAGAGAACTAAAACTTGAAAAAAGAAAGAAAAAAAAATATAATAAATATTATAACTAGAAATATATTAAATATCTACATTTATATTAATTATAAAATATTATTTATTCAATTTAAATAATACTTGTATTTTTACACTCATTTTCTATTAATTCTCTTATATTTTCATTTTAATTTTCATCCGAGTATTGCATATTAACCCGATTTCGACGATTTGGTGAGCAATGCTGTATGTACTGGAGGAGTGAGCGCAGAAAGATAAAGTAGAATAGTTCCGCAAGGAAAACTACGCTAAAACCAAACATCAGACTCATAATGCCACCAGTTAAAGCTAAAACCCAGCAAATATATCGCAATATTAATAGATATAGAGATAGATTCTTACGATCCAGCTCCACTCACACATGTACTCCGTGAGACCCGTGTAGGAGGATCTCACATGGCTGCGAAAGTAATTTTCGTCGTGATAGAAGTTAACTATCGCCAAGTTCGTAACAATGAAATCCGTAGAGAAGTTTTTAAAGAAATCGCCCTGAGGGCTAACACTATCTTGCTGGAAAGGAATGATGGGTATGCTGAACGCATTGGGAAAGTACGTGACATCGTGACAGCCAGTCAGACAGAGCTCCTTGCACTCCGTACTCTCGCCATCCGCATTCCCGAGCTCCGCCCGATTCACGCAATCGAAGTGGGCGACATGGCAAACGGTCGCATTGCGATAGATCAAGGGCAGGTAATAGGGTATGCAGTCGCAGAGCCTTAGGAAATAGATCGCATCACACTCTGCCTCGCAGTTGCGCCGTGTGTAGTACTTATAGAAGAGAAGCTTCTGCTCATCACTGAAAATGCATTGTCTGGTCTTGCGATCGATGTTGCGTATGGATGGGACAGCTTCATAGCTATTCGGCACGATGCGATAGTTGGTTTCGTGACCTAGCATGATGGGTAAACCAGATTCCTTCAAACGCGGCTGATCGATGGAGTTGTATAGAAGTACCTAGGTAGTAAGGAAGGGTATACATCTATAGAGATATACAAATAGATATCTTAGAATCAATAGAATGAATGTGTATCAATAAATAACTGTAGAGCTATAGAGTATACGAAGCGATTAATTGACATAAGGAAACATAAAGTACCTCAGCGTTGGTAAAATGAATATGGTAATGATGTATCAAAAATATTAAGGGATCATAAAAGTATGCATACATAATACGAACTCTTCATATATCTTGATCATGATATAATATATACTAAAATTTGTACTCTCATCTCCAATTTACTACGACTTGCGATTTTTTATACAATCTTGATTATAATAAAAATCCAAACCTTAAATCCTTGTCCATTAGTTGAGGAGCAATAATACTCGTCTGTAAGCCCATTGAGCACAATTTTTAGACCGTTATAAATGCCCATGCCAAGACCTGGACGGGGATAATATCCAGCAGGTAAATATTTTGGATAACCCGTAATGGGATTCCAATCTACAGCAATATCCGAAAGACCCTTGGAGGAAGTATAATCACGGAGTGTAGAGTCACTGAATGAAACTAAATTATTATGATCTCAATGTAAAGAAATATTTAAATAATATTTAATAATTTTGAAATTTTTTTACATATTTACATACAAATTTTCATAACAGCACAAAACAATAAAAATGACATTTATTTAAAAAATAAATAAATAATTTAATTAGGGTTATAATAAAAAATATATAAATTCAAATATAAATTAAAACAAAATGTCCAAATTATTAAAGATATTAAAAATAATTATACATTTATTTATAATCAAAAATAAAAACACAAGTAAAAATCATTTAAAATTTAATAGAAATATACACATAAATACATTAATCTTGTATTATATCAAAATTTTCATTATTATTTTTTTTTTAATATTATTTCCCACCTGTGCTTGTATAAATAATACGGATGCAGAAAATTGAAGACGCAGCAGAGGCCCTCGTCCACGTAGATCTCCCGGAATAGATCCGTGCAGGGCAGAGTCTTCTGGCCAAACTCGCAGGAGACCATCAGCTCGTCGCACTTGTGCGAGATATTAAAAATGAAATTGGCAAACGAATTGCGCTTGAGGCGTGGCCTAAAGGAACTGAAGCGAGTGTAATTGAATTCCTGGTTGCACGCCTTCTGCAGCATCGCGTGCTCCAGCGAACCACTAAGGGAACTTGAGTATTCAATTTCCAGATATCTATGGGAGCTACGTACTTTTGAAATGTGGACACTATGGAGCTCTTGGCCTTGTTCATGCTGCACACAGTTATCGCGGGGAAGGGTATGCTCTGTATCGCAGTCACCGTTGGACTAATGCCAATGATCACGGGCGTGCTCTGCCACTTGTGGAACACATTCACGGCCAGGTTGATGGCCACATAGACGGCCACTATGAACACCTTCACAAAGTACAGCTGCACCCAGCCGGGCAGCTTGTTGTTCCACACATATTTCAAGCCCTGCAAGGATGTGCTGCGCAGGAATTCCTTCGACCTCCGCTCGATGCTTTGCCACAATAATTTCAACACTTTCCGTAGCCACATTTTCGACGGATTGCTGCTTAGTTGCCTCCTTATATAGGTGAGCAATACGTTTAAAATGAATTAACTAATGGATTTTCTTTTTCTTCTGTAAGTCTTAATTTAACATCTAATTACACAGGTCTTAATGACTTTTAGGCATAGATTGGATAATAATAAAGCTAAATAGTGTGACATACCTTAGTTGATTGAGTTTGTATCACTCGCGTTGGACTAGTCGATGGTTAATTACTAAAATCTATGCACAAGAAATATATATACAGTTGGACATAAACTAAAGTTAGTGTACAATAAGTAGCTGTACATAAACTATAACTTCTAGTAGGCAACCTTAGACAGATCTTAAGCATGTCTATAATATAGTCCATTCAAATATATAAAACTACCATACACATTTTTTACAGCAAGGAGAACATAATTTTAAATTTCAATCTAATTAAATTTTTTTAATGTTTTAAAGTAAAATTTTCCTGTTTTTTTTTTTTAACTTAATGGTTTGGAATTCTTATATGATATGTATATATGCATGTACATTAATTAATTTGTAGTTTTTCAAGGCTTACAAAAATGTTCTGGAAATAACAAAAAAAAATATATGTCACAAAAAAAAAAAAAAAAAAAAAAAAAAAAAAAAACATTAGCTATATGTAAACTAAGTTTGTTCATTACTATTATTCAGCTCAGTTAGTAGAGCTTCTATGTATTTGTAGTTCGAATATAAGTTTTTATATAAAAATAAAACTGGAATAATATTTCTTTTACGTGTATACATAAATCTATATCATATAATATACTCCCTGAAATTCAATTAAATGCACTCAGTTTTCCTGGATTTTTTTTAATGTTATGCATATAATATACATAATATAAATATTAAATTACACGGAATAGTCCTAGGGCCAATTGGGCTAAAAATACATTGAATTAAATTAATATTTATTAATTTAATATTTATGTCTTTCAATTTCTTTATATTCTCGTATTTTCACCTTGCAGATATTTTTTATACTCTGTATTCAATGAATCATACCACTCTCGTGGCATTGCAACTGGGCTATTTATATACATTATAGAAACTACCTCTATGAGTCACTCTGAAATTAATAAAAATAAAAATAGATTGTAATGGATTTCTTATTAACAGTTTTTCGTTATAGTTCGAGTCGCAAACCCGTACTATTTCTCATAAGACCTTCCTTATCTCCCCCGTAGTTTTACCTGATTGAGGAAATATATGATAAATAAATATATAATATATATATAGTTATACATTCACATTTTACAGAATTTTTAAAATTGCATTTATTCAGACATATATATTTTATGTTAAATATATATATACGCTTGTGTGTATGTATGTGTGTACATATATATGTGTGTATATGGTATGTTAAGAGTTTGCATTGCCTCTGATTGCAGATTGCCCCTCGGTCGAACTTACAGAACTAATAAACAACGGAATATATGCAGGCAGGCGGGGAATGGGGGAATGGGGGAATGGAACTGGGTCTAAGTGTTAGCGGGTAGCGGACTGATAAGGTATTTATTTTTCTAAATAAATATCTATATAGCTCTAACTGTACAAGGCCCGGGGCAAAGCTGATAAACGTGTGTTAAGCAAACACAGGCTAAAGCATACAGAATGAAACAGAAACACAAAAATAAAACAAAATACTTGTACGCTGCACTGGGCAAAAGAATTTTGGGTCGGGGCCGCAGGAATGCATGAAGATTAAGTTTGGGCGGCCTTTAGCGACCGTTCCAGTAGCCAACGCGTCCGTTTTCGAAGGCCAAATTGATGCGTGGATGGGGCAGCGCCTTGCCCGGCTGCAGTGGCTCTCGCAGCTGGGCGGGCGTCGACGGATCGTCCTCGAACAGCAGGCACTGACGCACAAACTCCAGAAACAGCTGCTGCGCCTGCTGCACCGCAGCGGGCAGCGCCTGCAGATTGGCATCGCTGCTCAGCTGGCGGACGAGCTGTTCGCAGATGCGCGTATTCGTGTCCACATCGAAGAGCGGCACACCGAAGTTCACATCCAACAGCGTCCACTCCTCGGTGTTTGGCTCCGGCTCGGCAGCCGCATCCCCAATGGGCAGCTCCACAGAGCTCTGCGAGAGCAGATCGCCACGACTGCTGCTGCTGTGGTCATTGCATTTGGCCAGCTCGCTGGCCAGCAGCTGGGTGCAGTCCGCCGAGGTGTATTCGTTAGCTGGCCCATGCTCGGGCGTCGTGGCGAAGTGATTCTCGTCGGGACTCTTCAGCTGAAAGCTGGTCAGCTGATCATTTGGCACACTGTTTGACTTGCTGGCGGACGCGACGGCGGCGCCCTGCGTCTGACGCTTGCGCTGCGGCAGCTTCAGCTTCACCTGCAGCTCGTACTCCTCGCAGCCCAGATCGGGCACGCCCGTATTCAGAAATGTTATGTAGCCGCACTGATGACGCAAATCCAAAAGGCTGGACAGCTTTTGCACAGCTCGATGTGTGGCCCACTTGGCCTGGCCCGCATCGGTGGCCTGGAATGGAAACGATTCGTAGTGCAGCTCGCCACTCGTACGGATGCCGTAGCCCTGCAGCAGGATGCAGCCGTTCTTTAGCTGATCGTTCAGATTGCGAAAGTTCTCCGAGTTGAGCACATAGGCGTCCGAGTGGAGTATGTTCACCAACAGCTTGCCATAGCCCAGGAAGAGGCGTGGCAATGTCTTGAGCACCGTGCCGCGACACAGCAGCAAGCTGGGCGGTCCATAGCCTGCGAAGAGGGAAGTGAAATCAAATTAGACTCCGACTCGAGTCGACAACTCGCTACTCACCCGTGATATGGTTGTAGAACAGCTTGCTCCACATGGGCATTGCGTCGGAGCTGCGCACAAACTGCCCGAAAAACGGAATGCTAAACATGTGACTCAGCGTGGCCGTCAGCGGCGTGGCCGATACAATGAACTTGTACTTCTTCTCGAGCACACGATCGCGCGTCTGCCAATCGAGGCCCTCCAAGCACTCCAGTCGCAGCAGGTCGAGTCCACCCGGCAGCAGCGGACGCAACGAACAGATGGTGGAGCGTAAGATAACGGCGTGTGCGAAGTACCGTGAGACATCGCCCTCGCCCTCGGCGTCCAGCAGAGAGACCTGCTCCAGCTCGGCCAGAAAGCTGTCCAGGCTCTCCTCGCACAGTTTGCCCACCTCGAACATGGTGACGGCGTGATTCTTCAGCCCAGGCGACAGATTGCCCATCATCAAGAATGCAGTCAACGTGGAGTCGAACAAGAAGCCCACGCGCTTGCCGCTCTTTGGTGAAGCACCGACTGCTGGTGCTGGTGCTGCTGCTGCTCCAACTCCAGGTTTTGTTGTGGTCGTGCGCTCGCTGACCTCTTCCAGCTCGGAGCTAAGCTCGTGGTCGTCGCTGTTGTTGCCATTGTTGTGTGTGGGCGCTGTGGGCGTGGTCAGGTTGGCAAAGCTAAAGTCGCTAGTGTTGCCATCGGACGAGAGATAGCCAATTGAGCTGCTGTCTTTGTCTTTGTCCTTCTCCTTCTCCTTGTCCTTATCCTTCTCCTTGTCGCTATCTTTGTCCTTCTCCTGCTTGGGCGTTTTGGGACTCGACTGCTGCTGCTGCTGCTCGAACTCGAAAGTTTGAGCGTACATGTTGTAGTTGAGCGGCGTTATTTGCGGCGTCTGCGGCGGCTGCTGCTCGTTGTAGGCCGCCCAGCTGGCGTGATGCTGTGCCGAGTCGTGCTCCGTCTGTTTGCGCTGAGCAAAGCCGAGCCGGCAGATGAAGCTGATCGCCTGCTTCACGCTATCCAACTCCAGTTGCAGCATCTGCGCCAGCTCCGCAATGCTCATGTGCTCGTCGGCGCTCACGAAGATCTTGTAGAGCAGATTCTCAAAGTAATCACCGCTGACGCGATTCATGACAAAATTGCGCAGCGGTGGAATGCAAATGCGATCCTCACCGCTAATGGGCACATCCAGATAGATGAGTCCCTTGCGATAGAGGCTCTGCACCACCTGGTAGTCGCATTTGCCCGCTGGCTGGGCGCCAAAGTCGATGAGATCGTCCAGCAGGCTGCGCTCGGCAGGCGTCACGAGGCGTATGTCTGACTCCAGGACATAGCCAATGTCCAGGCGCCACCAGGGCTCCATATGAATGTGCACGGGCAGACGTGGCAGAAAGTCCAGCGGATTCGGTTTGGCACTGAAGAGCAGCGTGCGCGGCGTGTGGGTTTTCAATTCGCTAATTAGCGCCAGATACTCATTGCGTCCAATGCCCAGGACTCGCAGACAGTCCGCAGCTGTGAAATTGGGCAGCGTGTCGTAGCTCTTGTCGCTGCGCAGCAGCTGGCTGAGCACATCTAGGTAATAGTTGAAGGGCGTCACACGGAGACCCTTGGTCACAATATCGGCGAGATGATAGGGAAATACGCCCAGGCTATTGATATTCTTCTGGATGAGCAACTCGTAGTAGCGCTGCTCCTGCCGAAAAACCTTCGAGACGAGATTGCCTCGGAAGCGAAGCTGATTCTTCAAGCTGTAATTGAATACGTATTTCTCATAGTCGCGCTGGTTGTTGTGCAACACGGAGCGCAGATGCACTGGCAGCTCCTGCCAAGGGACATTTCCACGCACGCACTGCTGCAACTGCAACTGGCAGTTGCCACCCTCTGTCGCCGTCGTCTTCGTCGTTGACGTCGACATTGCCATCGACGTCATCGTCTCCACCTGCGAACGCTCTTTTCGCTGGTTTGTTTACCTGTCGCAGTGCTCAGTTTAGTTGTTGTTGCTGCCTCTTGATAGTTTTGGCCATTACATGTTGTGTTTTAACCAGTATGGAATGTATTTGCTGATGTGTTTACTTTCTTTTTTGCGTTTGCGTTTCGCGTTCGTTACGTTTTGTCGTTCTTATTCTATTTTGGCAGGCAGGCAAATGAGACACAGCTGATAAAAACAATCGTCTGACTGGCAGCTCACTTTCGTACGCACGCGTTTAGCAGCACTGGATTTTAAAAAATACTGCACTCTGACTGGAAAAATACAACACCCTTTCTTGAAAAGACCACACAGACACTTGGATTCGTTTGGCAACTTGTGAGTTGGATAGTTTTGTAAATTATCGTAGAATGAAAACAAATAATTTTAACTAGAAAATTGCGAATTTATTTTAAATACTATGCTACTATACTATATATATTAAAATATTTTCATTACATTTGAAATCAGTAGTAAACAGTTAATAGCTGCTTAAATGAGTAATTTATATAGTAATACACCAATTAGTTTTATTTACAAAAATGTTACAATTATATATAATAATTTACCAACAGCATTCTCTCCATGAAAAATGTGTCTTTTGAATTTATTGGCCCATGAAATATATTGCGCCAAAACGATACATCGTTACGCAACACTTACGGTGAGCATTTGCGAACCTTAGCAACACTGTTTGTTGATGATTTTCAATATTAAGGCACTCTGCTTTGCCTTGGCTGCGTTTTTCTAAACAAAAAACTGTTCTAAATATCAAAACGTATAAATTTTTGTTAGGTATAGATGTAAAATTGTGCAAAACTTTGTGTGAATTACAAGTGCTATACTGTTAGTTGTTGACATGCAACTGCATTGGCATTAACAACTCGGAACAACAACAACAAAACGCACACACTCTCGGAAAGGCAGAAAAAGGGACATCGACATCGATTTTTTTGCACCCTTTTTGTTGCGCACACACACATATATATATTTTGCGTAGGCAAATTAGCACACAAAGAGAGACAGGCGACAAGCGACAAGTGTCGCCCTGGCCTGGCAAGGAAGCACGCTAAGCAACGACCCAAACAGTAAACATCTATTAGTTTATTGAATCTCAGTGTCTCCCAGTGCGAAAGGGACGCTCAATGAGCGGCGGCGGCGAGGAACACGAGCAGCTGAAACAGAAGGCGCGGCCAACGTCAACGTCGCCGTTGCCAGGTGTCTCAAGGTGAGTAAATGTATATATATATATATGTATATATAGAATTAAATACGTATATATGTATCTATGTGAATATATGTTTAATGCTAAACGCATTTGCATTTTTTGTCGGTTACAGCGCATCGACTTCATCAGCTGCGGCTGCTGCGGCCGGCACGGTGGCTACCAGCGGGGGCAATGGTCGGGCCACACCTGAGATGAAACGTTCGGCTGTGCGCAGCCTCATCCAGCGCTACTTTCATCAGCTGCAGTCCGGCTGTGGCAATGTCCACTGCAAGAATGCCAACTGCGCTTCCAGCGGCAAAGTGCCGCCCATGACGCCCAATGAGGTGGCCGCACGAGCCCTTCATCTCTTCTCACAGGACGCACAGCTGTGCGATAGTGTGCCCACAGTGAATAGGTGAGTGGATCACGCTAGCGTATCAGTAATTTACTCTTACTAACATCTATTGCCTCTGGACAGTCCACAGCAGGACGTGGACATGCTTTCGCCAAATGACAGCAGTAGCAGTAGCAGCAACAGCTCCACTAGCACCATTACATCCGCTAGCACCACAACCACCACAAGCACCCAATCCCAGTCGCAATCCCAATCTCAATCGCAATCGCAGTCCCAGTCGAATACGCAACCACAAAGCTCCATGGAACAGCCGGAACGACCGCCAATGATATTGGATTTTGTTAAATTGTCCACACTTGGATCGGAAACGGCAACAGAAACAGAAACAGCAACAACAACGACGACGACAACAGCTGGTGACTCGGGCCCCTGCACACCGACGCTGCCGTCTGTGGAATATGTGGACGCTGAGCTGCTGGAGGGACTGTACACGCAGTGCCAGGAGGCTGGCAACTACGAAAGGCTGTGCCAAATCATTGACCATGTCTTCTCCAGCGTCGATCGACTCAGCAAGAGCTTCGTCTGCCGGCCTGGACAAGAGCGGCTGCATTTGGAAAGCCAATCAAACAGTGCCCTGAATAAGGAGCAACTGCGGCAACTGGAAGGCGAGGCCGATAAGGACGAGGATAGCACACAGCGGTCAACAACGCCAACCGAACCGTGTGCAGCTGCTAGTGGAGACGATGCCGGTCATGCAACTGCTACTGCTGCTGGAGCCGATACGGATGAAAACGACGAGGACGAACCGATGACTCAACAGGAGCAAATCGACGAGTTTCTGCGTAGGGGCACCAAGGTGGATTTCCGTGGACTGCGCCACATAAAACGCATGCTCTTCGGTGCGCCTTGTCAATCTATTGCTGAGCAGATCACGAGCAGCGTCATCAAACTGGCGGACTCTATACGGAACATTCGACTTTCCTGGCTGGACCTGTGGGAGCAGGTGGTACATTGCTTGGTCATATGCTTTGACATGGCCACCAACAGTAAGTATTGCTTAGCTAGATAAAGACATGACCAATTTCTCTCTAACTCGATCCCTTTTCAGCTACGGCCAACAACAGCGTCACGGACATGGAGTATCTGGATCGCGTGTTGCCCAAGCTTTGTCATGCAGCAGCCTCAATGTCTGTGCAAGCGCAGGCACGCCTCGCGATCATCTGGAGCGAGTATTGTGCGGATCAGCTGCAGACTCTGTTGTCCTCATGCCAACAGCAGATAACACTCCAGGTGTTGCTCGACGAGGACTCGGTGCGCGAGAACGAGCATATTATAAGCGTGACCAAAGTGCTGAAGGTGACTTGATCAATAATATCCTCTAATTTATCACTTTATCTAAACAGTTTTTCCCTTCACATAGATCGTGTTTTATGCCAACATATTGGCCAGCGTGTTGGAGCGTCCCTCTTGTCGGCTGCCATTACAGGAGGTAGTTGAGACTGAATCTACCGCCTCTGCCGTGGAGGATGGCGAGGATCTGTTCGTCTACAACTCGCTGCAGCACCCGCATATGCCGAAATTTGCTGAAGATCCGCTAGAGCAGTGCTTGCAGGTCTCGTACATTGACTGTCGCAGTCCATTAGTGCCGCTCGAAGAGTTCTACAACGAGGCGCTCAGCGAGCATATACAAATGCATCAAGACTATCTGTCCTATAAGACGCTGGCCATGGAGAGCCACCTGGGCTCCAGGCACACCAACTATTTTTGCTTTATGCTCTATGCATTCATCCTAACACCGGCCACCAAGGTCGATGCCCTCTACTATGACTGCCGCATGCGCATGTACAGCGAACGTTACTCTTCGTTGTATTCCATATTACAAAACTATGGGCAGGATGGCCAAGAGGGTGCGCGACCCGATCTCAAGCTGACGGTGCGACGCGATCAACTAATCAACGATGCGCTTATTGGAGTAAGTTCGAATACAAACATAAAGAAACAAAGAATTTTGTAATTAATAACTGAATTGACTTACAGCTCGAGCTTGTTGCAATGAGCAATCCGAAGGATCTGAAGAAGCAGCTTGTGGTGGAGTTTGTGGGTGAACAGGGAATTGATGAGGGCGGCGTATCCAAAGAGTTCTTTCAACTTATCGTGGAGGAAATATTCAATCCAGCCTTTGGCATGTTTGTGCAGCAAGAGGAGACCAATAACATGTGGTGAGTGAGAGGTCTCAATAACATCCTTAATGTGGTAACCCTTCCAATCATTCCATTTAATAGGTTCAATCCCACGCCCTTTGAGAATGGCGCACAATTCACGCTGATTGGCATAATCATTGGCTTGGCCATTTACAATAATGTCATCCTGGCTGTGAACTTTCCCATGGTTGTCTACCGCAAACTGATGGGCTATCGAGGCACCTTCTACGACCTGTGCGACTGGAGTCCGACGCTGTACAAGAGCTTAAAGGCCATGTTGGACTATCAGGGCCATGACATGGAAGAGGTTTTCGAGCAGACGTTCAAGATTAGCTATAGCAATGTGTTTGGCGAGCTAGTGGAGCACGAACTGGTCCCACATGGCAGCGAGGTGCTAGTCGGCCAGCACAACAAGCGTTTGTTTGTCAATCTATATAGCGATTTCTTGCTGAACTCGAACATAGAACAGCAATTCAAAGCCTTTCGCAAAGGCTTCGAAATGGTTACCGATGAGTCACCACTGAAACTGCTCTTCAGGCCAGAGGAAATCGAGAAGCTAGTCTGCGGCAGTCGCGTATGTTTAGAGAAGTTTCGCAATTCACTTTTGGACTTTCAATAATTCGGTTGTATTTTACAGGAGTTTGATTTTGTGGAATTGGAGCATTCGACGGAGTACGAGGGTGGCTATACGGAGGAAACGCAAATCGTGCAAGATTTCTGGAGTATTGTCCATGCCATGCCACACGAGGCCAAGCGAAAGCTGCTTGAGTTCACAACGGGATCGGCGCGCGTTCCCGTTGGAGGCTTAAAGTGCTTACGTTTGTTAATCACACGCCATGGACCGGACAGTGATAGATTGCCCTCATCGCACACGTGCTTTAATGTACTGTTGCTGCCCGAGTACAGTAGCAAGGAGAAGCTGGAGGAGCGCTTGCTCAAGGCAATCAATTACTCCAAGGGCTTCGGCATGCTGTAGTCGCCGCAAGGGAATAATGCCAAAGTAGTTGGTACACATACCTCCAGGAACGCAACAGATACCACCTCCGATAAAAATATGATGATGATGAGGATGTTGATGATAACGACGATGTTTAATTAGTTGATGAGCTTTAGTTTGTTTTTGAATTTGTCATTTATTTTTGATACAACTTGTTCAAATGAGACAATATATATATATGTGTGTGTGTAAATGCTCAATGTGGCGCGATGGCAAGAAAGCAGACTTAGAAAAACTTGATTTAACTAACTATATACTTTACTATATCGCTCAGTTAATTGTATATAACATAAATTACATTTATTCGCATACTCATACACTCATGTATTTACGTTTGTAATGCAGCTCGCATAAAAATTTGCTGAATAAATTTTAAGTTGTGCGCCAATTGATTGCTTTTCTTATCGTTCGATAAATTTTCATTTCTTTGCTATCGATAAGTGGATATGCAGCCATCGCTCGCTTTACAGCACTGCCTCTGCATTCATATTGTGTTCGTTCGCGAGAGTCGTATTTTGCATTTTCATTCATGTTATCATCGTTGTTGCGTTCGGTTGTGCAGCGGAGAAAGGCTGTTTAATTTCAAAGCAAAGTTGCCTCCCGGAATATGCAACAATTATCATAACATAAATCTCTGCGTTAGAATTGTGAAAGTGAGCGAGTGTGAGTGGGTGTGGAATTCAGTGTTTCGGGAATAACAAAGCCAACGACATGGAAAAGCATATAAATTGCGCATTGTTGTTTCTGGCGTCGCTCTTGTTGTTTTTGCAAGGAGCCAGCGCCAGTGCAGCGAACGCCGCCGATGTTGTTGCACCCGCCGAAGTTGTTGCAGCTGCACCAGCTCAACCAAACTTAAATGGTACGTGTGTGTGTCTAGAATCTGGAGCATATGAGTTCATCACTGGAATTAGCAAAGCATAAGCACTAAAAATTATTAAATTGCATTCAGCTGTAGAACGATGTGCCTACACAAACACATGCACACATCCACACACATCAGATGCAGGCATTGTCTATGCAGCTGTATATGCGTGTATGCGGGTGTGTGTTTGTGTGTTTCTTTCCCTTGCTGCGGTTTTTGTTTATATTACTTTGCTCTATCCGCTTGCTGCTTGAAATTCATGCGGTCGTTAGCATTCAAAGTGCCTGACGATGTCTCTGGATGCTCTCATCTTATTTTAATTGTTTTAGTTCATACAAAATATTTTTAATAACGTTTTACATACACAATTTTGTTTGCTTATACTACGTATGTCATTATTCACATCCTGTGTCCCTGACACAACCAACAAATTGGGTCATATATGTATATGTATAAGATTTTTACCATGTTTGAGTATAACAATGTTACTAAATCCATATTGTTTACATTTAATATGTATTATATGACTTCCTTTTGTTAAATGTATAGAAAATTGAGTACAAATTCTATTCTTGATCCTGAGATATTTCAATATTATTTCATCTTTTTAAACATTTATGTGTATGTACATATTTAGACAAACTGAAAATTCTTCGATTGTATAATAATGAAGTTAACAAAAAATTAATTCTCTTATATTTGGCTATACATTTAAATATTATATGTACAAAATTATTCCTTTTATAACTACGAGCGATAAATTAATAACTGGGTATTTATTCAAATTTATTATTAAATTTTGTATGCTATATATAACTTGTTTTCTGTTGATTTTTTTATTATTTGGCAATTTATGACATTAACATTTTTCTCTTTTCCAATTCAGATAAAATAAAAGTCTTCACCGTTGCCACGGAACAAACTGATGGATATCGCCGTTATATACGCTCCGCCCAAGTTTACGACATTGAGGTAAGTTCTTTAAATTTGCTAAGCGTCGAAATGGCACAGTTAACCGTTAAATTCTAACCGGCTAGATGCGTCATTTTACTATCTATTGTTGAAATTTGTTATTCAAATTTTTATATAACATTTATTGTTTTTTTTTTTACGATCAATAAATTGTATAAAGAGAATTGCTAAAATTTAGCTTCGATTGTTGCCTACAAATTAACTCGCCTATCTGAATGGTCTTTTTTTTTTTTTTTTTGTATGTTCGACGATTTTAAATATTTTTGTTCGGGTAAAACATAACTTTTAAAAATATATTATATAAATATATATAAATATTATATTAATAAATTGGTTGAAACTCTGTTCTTCTAACAATTCCTGAATGAAATTTTAAGTTGAGATTTCTTCGAGCTACATAAATTATACACATATTTCTTTGATAAGCATTCAGGACATAAACTGACCTCATAAAAATTCCAATCAGTAGTCGTTTGCTAACAAAATGATATATACAATAGGCTTTCATATTTCATAGATTCAAACTAAAGAACTGATTGTGAGCAAATGACCGGAAGCTTGTATAGCGAAGCTTTTTGTTCATTTATACAAGAATATATATTATATTCTAAAATATATTTTATATTCTAAAATCATTTAATAAATTTGTAGCTCACGATTTACGATCTATGATTGATTGATTATTCAATATATATCTGACGCGGTAAAAAACAGTTAAGGATTTTAAGTTTAGCTTTTAGTGAGTAACTAAAATATTGACTTTTTATTTGTTTTCCTAATATCAATTTCATTGTTTTACATTTTTTTTAAATTTATATCAACTTTAATTTATTGGCAAAATAAATCTCTGCCTGTTAGCAATTGTTGATCGAGCATTTATTGCATGCAAGTCTTATTGTTTTCTATAAATAGATTTCGAGATTTAATTAAATGCCGTTGTATTTTTCATATTTTATATAAAGCATACGCATATGCCTTTAAGTATACATATATACATTTATATATACATCTGTTATTCCTAAACAAATGATTGGCCCGAAGACGAACTCTTGCCGACATATCTCAGTTTTGCGGCACACTTTTATTACTAGGAAGATTGTAGCTGTTGTATATATACTGTATATAGAGTATATACATATATATGTAGAGTGTATAGTATATGTGTAGTATGTGTGTGAACGTTTAGACATTCGTCTAAGCATCCGGCACTGTCGTCCAGATGACTGCTCTGGCTGCGTCTCTGATGTGTTACACAGAGATTGGCTGTTGCATTATATATATGTATATATATATTATATACCACATATGATGGGGGCACCACATACTGAACACATGTGTTTGATCGCGTTTCGATGTTTACTTTGTTGTGTTTTAATCACGTAGTCCATGCATCCAGTTGGAAGCCCGGGTGTAATTAGCACAATTCAGTTCCCGATTGTTCCATTGATTGTGCTTCAGTACTTTCCTCTCATGTACATACATACTACATATATTGTATTGTGTTCGATGTTTCGCTTATCAGCTTGAAGCTGAAGCCGGTTTTCCTAAACGAAATGTGTCGCATATAGTCTTACGAATGCTTCTCATATTCATCTTTTGACAGAAATATTCACGAAAAGAAAAAACAAAATTTCATAAAATGCTGATTAGCCGGTTAGCCGGCATTCGTTCACAGTTCTTAGATTTCAAATTTGAACTTTATTTTCGGAATGATTATAATTTGTATTTCAAGAATTATGTCAACGTAGTCGTTTAATGTGCTTAGGAAAGATTTATTTGGAGACAAGGAAATTGTGCTTACAGACATAAACCTGTAGAATAGACGCGACAATGATTGTAAGGCTAAGCAATAACAATCTGTGCTCCTTTTCTCAAAACAGGTGACCACCCTTGGCCTGGGCGAGGAATGGCAAGGAGGTGACATGAAGGGCCTTGGCGGCGGCTACAAAATCAATTTGCTGCGTAAAGCTGTCGAGGAGCTCAAGGATGCTGAGGATACCATCATCCTATTTACGGACAGGTAGACAATATACATATTCTTACTATATAGATTACTTTTAACACCCGCACGAATGCCCATAGCTATGATGTCGTCTTCACAGCTCCGCTTACGGAGATCTTGGAAAAGTTCAAGGAATCCGGTGCCAAGGTGCTGTTCTCGGCAGAGAAATATTGCTGGCCCGACAAGAGTCTCGCGGATAGTTATCCTGCGGTGGGGGCCAAGGAGTCACGTTATTTGAACTCGGGCGCCTTCATCGGCTACGCGCCACAGGTGGTTGAGCTGCTGAAGGAGGAAATCGAGGATACGGGCGATGATCAGTTGTATTACACGAAAATTTTCCTGGATGAGGCAAAGCGCGCCAAGCTGAACATCAAACTGGATACGCAGTCGCGTCTGTTCCAAAGCCTGAATGGTGCCCAAAACGATGTAAAGCTAGAGGTGGATCTGGACTCCAATCAAGGCGTGTTGCAAAATATCGATTTCCTGACCACGCCCGCCATTATCCATGGCAATGGGCCGAGCAAAATCAACCTGAACGCCTATGCCAACTATCTGGCCAAGACTTTTAGTGGCGTCTGCACCTTCTGCCAGGAATATCCGCTCGAGTTGAATGTGAGTGAATGTTTGCTATATATAGGATTTACATAATTGTCTTATGAGCTTTCTTCTACGCAGGAGCAAGAACTGCCTATCATTACTCTAGCTGTAATGGTGAATCAACCTGTGCCTTTCCTTGATATGTTCCTTGCTGGCATCGAGAAGCTCAACTATCCTAAGAAGTCGATGCACCTCTTCATGTACAGCAACGCAGAGCTACACGATGAGCTCGTGCAGTCCTATGTGACTAAGCATGGCAAGAGCTATGCCAGCGTCAAGTATATCCTATCCACGGATGGATTAACTGAAAGTCAGGGCAGGCAATTGGCACTGTGAGTAACTAAACAGAAGCAGCGTATAAATATGCATATATATAGGACATAGATAGGCCATAGTAAAGGATATGCAATTATTTAATATGCTTTGGTATGATATGCTTATAATCAGATGATGATTAATGATAATGAAAGTTAGAAAAAGAGAGAGAGAAACTTTTATGTTCTCACTTGTAGCAGATCTATATTCTGTGTAGAAATAAAAATAACGTTTTAGGTTTTCCAATACCTATTTTACAGCTCCCTTGCTTAGGTAATAAATAGAATTAAAGGGAAATAGTAGATATATTTAAAAATAATTAATTTAGTTTAATTATTTCATAATAATAATAATAACATGTTCAACGAGTATTATTTCATTTATATTTATATGGGTATCATACACATCTCAATAGGCTTGATTAATCTACTGTGAAGTGAAGTGATGTGAAGTTATCTAGCTAAGCTAGAAAACCCATATCAGTTGATATTCAAGTGTTTATTAATTAATTAATTTATTCTTGCTTCATATCTATAAAAATGTAATTTACCTATATAATTGGTTGATTTACTCTTCAATATTCTTTGACAGTGACAAAGCAAAGCAGAAGCACAGCGACTACATTTTCTACGTGGACGGCGATGCACACATCGAGGACAGCGAGGTGCTGCGCGAGCTGCTCAGAATGAACAAGTAGGTTTACCAGCAGAAATATATATATATTTAAATATATCTGATTAAACATTCTACGCTTAACCTTTGCAGACAATTTGTGGCGCCGGTGTTCTCCAAATATCACGAGCTGTGGAGCAACTTTTGGGGCGCGCTCTCTGAGACGGGCTACTATGCACGCTCCCATGACTACGTGGACATTGTCAAGCGGAATCTGATGTAAGCTAAACACTTGTCGGGGATTTTTTAGAAGGTTTTCATTCGGGTACAACTTTATTGCTTATGCATATAATGGAACAAGGAAACTGTAGTAGCTAATCGAAGGCAATGGAGAAATCGGTCTTAAAGCTGCGTCTGTCTATGGAATACATATTGTCCGCCGTACACTCGTAAAGGCCGGCATCCATCTGGGTAGCCGGATCGATTTCGATCTTTGACTTGACGCGATCCTCACCAATGGTCCATTCGTGCACATGCATGTACAGATGCTGATAGATTTCGGCACCGTCCTTGTACCAGGTTATGTGCGGGCGCGGATTGCCCTTGGCCACGCACAAGAAGGCGATCTTGTGGCCCAGCACGTACTCGAGATCAAAGTGCGAGGCTTGCAAGATTTTGGCGCCCTGTTGCAACGAAGAGATTAGTTGATAATCCTTTGACTACTGGGCTAACTCACATTATTATTGTTGTAGTATTGATCGGATTCAGGATCACGGTATTTGCCCGTTATCGGCAGCCCGATCTGTACGCGCGACTTGGTGCGTCCACGACCGCGTCCACGTCGCGCCTCAACGACCGGTGCAGTTAGCATTAGGAGGACCAGGGCCAGGCTTATGCTGATTAGCAGGCACTTTGCTTGCATCCTATGCTGTCTCTCACTCAAACGTTGCTGTGCGAATCTCGTCTGCTCGGCGACTGAGCAGCAGCTGTTGGGCACAATTGCTCGCCTGCCACTGAGCTCGGCCAATTTGCCACAATTGGCGTCGCTTGGGTCTCGCATTTAAATCGCCATCAGCAAGCAGCAGGCAGCAGGCAGTAGTCAGCAGCTCGGCAT